AATTGTCAGATCTGATGAACAAACTTCACTTTATTCATTAGGTAATACGTTTTTTGTTTAGTAGTTAAGACAAAAATTCTTCAGAATTATGGTGAACTTGAGAGGTGCGTTAAGCAGTTAAAAGATTACGACAAAACGTTACATAATTAACACTTTCGAAGAAATTATTATTCCGATAAGTTCAAATGATGTTCATTAAATACAACAAAAATATCTTTTTTTCAGGAAATTAATACTGCACTACTATTTAAGTTTTAGTAGATCAAAGCTACTTTGCTTTAGTTGTTTGAATATCGGATGCTTAAAATACTTTACAGAGGATATATCTATGGATGAGTTATCTGTTAGAATAGAAATGTTGAAACGATGTATTCAAACACTAGATGTTTCATTGCATCAAATAGTTTGTACTCAGAGTTTATTAAGACATTTAGGTTTCCAAGTTATTATTGTTTATGCTCACAAAATTCATACTAGATAGTGAATTTGTTTTACTACATCAAGATTCTTGTATTTGTTGCAAATTTTTGAAGTAAATAGAAAAAAGATTAGAAATATTCAAAATATCCGCGAATCGCAATAAGGATTCTGTTATAACGGAATATTTAAAATAGAGATTGAAATAAAATATAATACAATGAATACAATAAATGAAATACGTTTGCATTTGTTGCTACAGATAGAACAACAACTATGATATAAAAAAGAATTAATGAATACGACACAGCATTATACAGAGAGAATAATGAACTGTCCCTTTGTATTTACGATGTAATCAGTAATTGAATTCACTAGTAGATTTACATGAATTACAAAAATTAAAAAGGGGAAATATATTTAAATTATTATTACTATTAATGGCTTTATTCAATATTATATTTTGGTACAATATAGAATTTTCAGCACAGGGTATTTCAACAAGTTTCTAATACAAAAAACAGAAACAAAGACAAAAAAGGAAAAAAAAGTTTAAAAATATCTGAAAAACTGTACAACTTTTCAAATTAGAGACATGTTACGAATGCAGGTTATTGATTAGGTTAACTCTAACAACCTGTTCGTCACAGAGTATATTTGCTAGGTAAGGTATTATAGAACTTTTATACTTTTGCTTGCGTGCATGGATTTTAATGTAATTACGTGTCGTTCTACCAGAAGATATACAATAAGCATTTATTTTATGGTAGTTACATTTCATTAACATGTCCTGTAATTTTGTGTTAAATACATCGTTTGTCCCCACTGGTGTTCTTGTTCACTACAGTAGACTTAGTTTTCTAGTACATATAATGATCAATTGGTCCTTTATACTTTTAATTTTTTACATATCCAACCAAAAAGTAGTTGATATCCACAATGTTTCATTTATTTACAGTACATATATTTTGTTTAGATTAAATCTCATTGATTCAGTCTACCCTACGTTTTGTAGATATTTTCATGCTTTTACTCTTTTGTTAATATTCAGTGCTATAAAAACGTCATAGATAGGTGCATCATACATGAAGAATGCATATTCTTTCTTTATATATGGATAAACATGCATGTAAAGTATATTTGTGATTGGAAACTTCTACGACTATATATTTTTATGGGATGTGTAAACTTGTCTATGATTGGATGTAACGTATACTAGCAAATGCGCCCATTTATGGCTATGTGTGTATCACTGTAATTCACGTATCCTATATATGTACATTTAAATCTATACATGTACTGCATACTTGGGAGAATATTCCACGTTCATCAGCGCTTTTTATTTGTATATAAATTTCTGAATATTATAGGAAAATGAGGCCGTACTGGGGATAAACTGAAGAGTTATTTGATCAAGAAGCTTTAATTCATAGTAGACAATTCAAACCATGTTGTACAATGCTACGCAAGTTAAATATGAATGGAAAATTAACTCAGTTAATCAGATTTATTTCAGAAATATTCATATATTGTTTCTAGTCATTGCATGTAGATCAGGTTTACATGCATTGCTGATGATGTAAGATCAAAGGCTGAACAGCCATTTGTTTTCATGATTGCGTGAGGAAATTCGTTGAAAATGTTTTTAATCTTGTACACTTGTTGTGGATTAGCTTTAAGATAATTCCTTAAGCATCATATATCAATGGCCCTGATAACTGTTCTTGAAGAAATCACAACGATATATGAATTCAGAAGGTAACATGAAGCGCCGACCACAGTTTAATATCGAATAGCAAAGATCGATAATTAATAATATTCAAGCACATACATATATGTGGGAAAGCGATTCGAAGTGGAGAATGTAGCTAAAAAATAAAAAAACGAAGTGAGGCGGAAGAGGTGAGTGAGACAACTCGTTTTGATAATGTGAGACTCAATATTTACAATCAGAAAAAATAAGCTACCGATACGAAATGAATAAGATAAACAATACACACACATATAAATACAGTTAAGGCTATTAAGCAAACAACTGACAAGGTTGAAATGTGACTCAAGAAGAATGAATAAACTAGTCTGTGCATAAGCTAGAATAACCTACGTGGGCTTGTCATGGTACTAGACTCTACACACTAACCAATTAAAAACATGTCGTGTACTTATAATAAAAAATATTACTATCATCCAGTGTTGAGTTTTGTCGGAAAAAAATGTTTGTTAAAAGCTATTCCAAGGTTATTCTTATTATCAATGAAAGCATGCAAACATGAAATTTATTCATGATTAAACAACGCATTACTTTCCATGAATGTATTTCAAATACTACAATAGAATGGCGTTACTAGCTTATATATTTTTCAAGAATGAACAATCATGGACAATTTTGGATTACATCAAAAGACTACTTATGTATTTCATGTTCACTTTGTAAATCAGAAACATAAAACTTTCATTTAATCAGAGTTTTTTTCTTTGGCTAAATTGACTTACCATTGAGAACAACTTCTACGTAATTCATGTCACGTTTTCCGAGGAAGTATATTACTAAACATATAGAAAGGATTAAAGAAAATAAACAACACTTATTGGTGTAATTTGATGTACTCTTTCCCGTCTGTTAAGTAAAATGGGTAAAATAGAACTTGACATGCCACACATAAATTTAACATAATTGGATGAACACAAAATGTTACTTACTTACTTACGCCTGTTACACCATGTGGAGTAGCACAGACCACCAACCAACATTCTCCATCAAAATCTATCATGAGCGATCCTTTCCAGTTTTTTCCAGTTTCTGTTAATACTTTTCATGTCTGCTTCCAATTTCCAGTACACTGTGTTTTTCAGTCTTCCCCTTTACCTTTCGCCTTCAGGATTACAAGTTCAGGCTTGCTTCGTGATGCAGCTTGAATATTTCCGCAACCTATGTCCAACATCTTTTTATAATATCCTCTCAAGCTGGAAATCAATGTGTTCTCTCCCACACAGGGCTGTTGCTGATGGTATCCGGTCAACGGACATTGAGTATCATGCATAGACAAATGTTTAGAAATAGGTATATATGTTTGATGATTGATTTGGTAGTTGTACAAGTTTCAGCTCCATACAATAGAACTGTCTTGATGTTCGTATTGAAGATTCTCACTTTGATATTGATTGGTAGTTGTTTTGAGTTCCATATATTCTTCAATTGTAGGAATGCGGCCCTTATTTTGCTAATTTTTGCCTTTACATCTGCATCAGATCCTCCACGTCCATCGACGATGCCAACCAGATAAGTGAAACTTTCCACTTGGTCCGGAATTTCTCCATCAAATGTGATTTGTTTGGTGTTTTCCGTATTGCATTTGAGGATTTTACGTTTCCATTGTGTATGTCTTGGCCTACCGATGCAAAGGCTTCTGCATTTGTTGGTGTGTATCGGATAGAAGAGTCAGGTCATCTGCAAAGTCCAAATCGTTTAGTTGATTCCGAGCTGTCCATTGTATTCCACTTCTCCCCTCAGACGTCGGGGTCTTCGTAAACCAATTGACCACCAGAGGAAAGAGAAAGGATGAGAGTTATCGTCCTTAGATGGTGGTTGTAGTTATTCAACAGGAAACCATGATATTTGGCACTCGTCAGCAAATTGTACTTTTAATCTTAAGGGAACCGTTCATCTAATATCAACATAGTGCATACAATGTCGAGTCACCTAGACTAGTGGACACATCGCAAATTGGTCAATAGCATTCGATCCGCACTAAGAAGGACTTGACACACATGACAGTGATCACCACCCAGTGATCAATCAATTGTGAGTTATCTTTCTTGTCTGACTTCGGTCCTCACCTGGAATGAGTTTGTCATCTGCCCTCTAAGCAATTTCGATTGTAGTCCGTTGTATGAATTCCATATGATATTGATGATCTTCTTAGGTACTCACCTCATAATATCGAAGAAGGTTTCATAATGCTCTTCTATCCACACTGCCATATGCTTTCTCATGGTCAAGGAAGTTGATGTCCGGTTCTATTCAACTGATTGTTCAACGATGATTTGTAGTGTAAAGATTTGGTCTCTACTCAATTGAGTCAATTGATCTCGATTTTTGGTATCCACCGAATCTTCCATCCAGTTCAGCAACACTGTTGAAAACCTTTCCTGATACTGACTGCAGTGTGATGTCTCTGTAGCTGAGTTCTCACATTTGCTCTGATATCATTTATTTGGTATCTTCATAAGGTATCCTTCTTTCCAGTCCATCGGTACTTGTTCCTCTTCTCATTTCAAAATTTTAGCTACACAAAATCCCTGTATGGTAAAACACTGGAAAAAAATTAACTAATTTGATGAGTTTTTCAAACCTTTGTGAACTTATAAGTTATCATTGTTTGAATTATATTAACAATATATGTCTAGTGAATATGTCTCAATACAAATGATAAACACCAATAGATTATTTTGGGGTTGTGTTTTATAATTGGCCAGTCATTGAGATCTACGTTGGGGTTTAATGATAAAATAAAGGTCCCATAAAATTTTGTTTAAAACATATTTAAAAACTTCCATTGGATACTGCTTTCATTGCTACTACCATGAATTATACTACACAGATTTTACTGTTGATCTTGTTGATTGTACTTAACTTAGATTACAGTAAGATAACTTGTTAATATTTCATTTCATTATATGATTCATCTTTCCATTTAATTCTGCTTAATTTACTCTAATATTTCAATAATTCATCAGGTTATTTTCAACCAACAGCCAGTCTAATGGAAAGTAGTGAACTTCAGTAGTACTGTAATAAATAATCTGAATATCTTGAGGGTTTTAATAAAAACTAAAATATGTACTAAGTAGCTTATAGTTCTTGTCTATCTAGTTGCTGGGAAAACGTCAAAGTTTAAAAATGTTGCAGTATTCGTTTGCTCTAACACTTCAGAAGTTTGTTAAATAAATAAATATTCAGGGGGAACGATCTCTGGAGAAAAACTCGATAGTCATTTGTTGTCAAACAACGACAACCATGATTTACTGGTAATCATATTTCAAATTATTGAGTAAAGTTACTAAGAAAGAAAGTGAAATGTTGATAGTATTGTTTGATTCCCTGTACCTTTAAAATCACTTAAAATGAATAACAAATTTCATTTTGATTCAAATGAGTTTAGACTATGAGAATAAACAGAATGTTCAAGTAGTTAGATAAAATGTTTGGGAATATTCAATCCCTTTGTAGATCCATAATTTCCTACATAATATTGCGGAAGACGTATTGTGAATAGTTTCGCCGATTATTATTCATTTGTAATAGAACAAGTAAACATTATTCCAGTTCTGCTTTGTATCAATAAAACTATCAAAATATTACATGGGTTGTAGATAATAGAATATTTGAAACATGGAGACACGAATAAATTAGGTTTTTTAAAAGGAATGCGAGATATAACATCTTTTCTGTTTGAGAAACCAGCTTAAAATCTATGAGATAAGGTTACACTGCCAGGATACACAAATTAGCTGTTCTTGCATAAAACTGAGAAGGAATTCGATTGAATTTTTCTCTCAATGTATATAACATCTAAGCTACATTATAGATATTAGTTACTAGTTATGCATTAAATATGATGTTATTTTCATCGTGAACTTGTCTATCATTGGAAAGACCTTAAATTCCCATGAAATAAAAATAACCTTGGTAATTGATTGTCTCATAAGAATTTTCAATATCTAATTCTAATTTAAATAAATGAATTTAGTGAGAATCAAGGAGCCATTTATTTGTTAAGATCAGAAGAAAAAATTAACCAAATGAGATTTTTAAACTAAGACTATAAGACAAATCCCCTTTGAGTAGCCCATAAAAATGTACTACATAAAAACTCCTCAATGGTCATATTTTATTTTCTATCCTCCTCACAGCTACTCCTTAAGGTTGATTTGTTCATTATCATGTTTCATGCTTCTTCATAGATTGGAAAATCAGTGGAATAATTATATAGTACAAACTGAAGATCGTTCCCAAAGCATTCACATCAAGATATATCTAACTTGGCTATCAAAGGTAAATTAGTAGATAACATCGCCTGACGTCGATAAGATAAGCAAAGCGACTAGTCGTTAGTGGATCTAAATAGAATTCAGCTTAAAAATATAACTTTAATCCTTTTTATGTATCTCTTGAATTAAATTTATTTAACTAAAATTCAGTCTTTAACATCAGTGGATAGATACGAAGTAATTGCGATTTTAATTATTTGATAGAGATGCCTATTTAATTTTTGTAATCACTTCCTACTAGTATCTAATATAAACCATCATTAAGTTAACCTAGTTTAAATGATATACTTGAAAATATGTTAATATATGTTAACGATGGAACACTAAATCAAATAAACACTTTAAGTAGTCTGTATGCTAATTTCATATTGATAAACTTACTGATCATGTTGTATTTCGAAATATTCTCTTCACGCTTATAAATATGCCTATTTTAAGACAAATGTGTTTCTAGTTGAATGTATATTTTTTACTGTCCACGTGGATTGTGACTCATCACAGTCCATCAATTCCGGAAGAATTAGGATTACAAACAATCAATTATCAATAAAAATCTGATCCATTCATATTCTTAATAGATCCTTACTGGTAGGAACAGTAATAATTTCTACAAATCATCTAAATATCTTGATTAGTATCGATTGTCAGGATAATCTAAATAGAGGTACAATATTGAAATTGGTATTATTTTCATCTCTTTTGATTTCAGGTACGTCTTTGAGTTGCTACACTTGCGAAACTTGTCCAGTCCCATTTAACTCTTCATATCCACAGGTAAACAACCAAAGTGGATGTGCATGGTGTGCCGTAAGTGAAGTAAACAATTCATTTATTCAACTTAACTGAGAAAATACTGGGTTTTTTTAAATATTAGACTAATATCTCATCGTCAGTTAGTGTGATTGAATACATGCAGCAGATGTTTAGTAATGATTTCATCTCCATTGTGATAACGTAACTAACCACCTATTTCCTGAAGATTGAAATCTGACCCATTCTACTAAGTTCTGAGGAGCAATTAAATCATGTGAATAAGTATTTTTGGTAGTTCCCAGTTATTTTAAGCTAAATACATGGTATCATATTGTTAGGTTTCTACACATTATTAACAGTATTAACTGTCAAAGTTTCTGTAGTTAGATTTTAAGAAACCTGCATGTTTATTGTATAAAAGAGCTGAGTGGAAAAAATATTCTGATAACTGTATTGATAAGAGCTATTATGAATTTGATTCATGTATGTACACCGAAATAAATCAGCCTAGATGGAACGTTGAAAGCATCATGTCATAACTAAACTACGACACTGGTACGAGTGTTTCTTTTATCACTGGTGTTGAATTTTTTCATCAATAAGATTGGACAGTGCATTTAAATATTTGTAAGAAATTAATAGAAAACAACGAATATATGATAATTAGCAAAATGCTGTTTTATGACTGAACTCACTACAACAAAGGAGTCTACCCTCCATATTCTATACTCCTCATTAATATTTTATCAAAATATTTAGTTGAAATATTTATGAGTTAAAACTCAATTGTTTGGATTAACATTGTACTCATCAGGAAACCTGAGATTGGTGGTTTGAATGCTATATCAAGTTACAGAAGTAAACTAATAAGGCATTCTGAACTTTTCAGGGGTATTATAATAATAATTTAAAAACTGCATTAATACATCTTATCGTTCTGGATGTCAGTGAACAAATTAGACATGATATATACTAACATCTTTTATTTGTTGATTAATTATTTATGTGTTATGGTTAGTTGCTGAATTCTAGTAATACCACATGTTTAATATGTTTTTTTTAAAAAGAAAATTGTTTTTGTATAAACCTGCTTCAAGTTTCTTTACAGAATATCCAAAAGGACGGTAGGCGTACAAGATTAGAAATATGGTTCTTTATTGTGAACAGAATTCACATTTAAGACAAAGATAAGTAGGGTTTTATCTGTTAGTCCAATCGATTATATTCCCTTTCAATTATGAACTGAATCGACTAGCGATTGCACATAATGATGTAGACAAATCTTAACAATAAAATGTTTTATGATTGAAATATAACAACAAAATATACAATATCTTTGTAGTTTAGTGAACAATAACACGAGTAGGGACAATCGAATGTATTTGACACGAAATTACAGAGCATCTCAATAAAATCCGAGAACCATATAATAAATCGTTAATTTGCAAAATATCAATTCATCATATCAAACTTGACTGTTCCTGTTGTAAACATCAATCCATTGTCTCAGTTTTCATTGTTCATGCGTTTTCATACCAATTGCGTTCTGTTCTCATTCTAGCGAATATACTAAACATTTTTATTAATTCTGTATAATGTCCAAATAAAATTCTGAAATAAAAACAGATTTATGTGTTAATGTTATGTGTTTATATGAATAACTTTTCAGCTATTTTTATTAACTGATTTCTCTTATTGTCTATTATAGAAGATTACGGTTAAAAAGCGTCATTCTCCAATAAGACAATGTGTAGACAGATGTGACTATTTATATTTTTGGAAATCATACTCCAAATTCTCTTATTATTGTTGTAATACTGACTATTGTAATAAAAGTATACAGAGTTATGCAACTCATCAAATACTAATTATGATTGTTATTACACTTGTTTGTTTCTACATTAATAAAAAATAAATGAGAAAAAAACCACAAAACAACGAACCCTACAATTTGCCTAGATCAAATTCATTCATAACTTTATCTTCACTTTATATATTTATTTATATTTGTGTGCATGAATGCTATTTCATTATTTGTAGTTTAGATATCATATTTTAGTGTATTGAACCCTCTTTTGTATTGATGATAATACTTTAGAAATAATAAAAAAACACACTTCACTGCTTATCTTTGGATTCTTTCATCAAATAACTTAGTAACTAATTGGAGACACCATACAGTATACACTGAAGATATATGTGTTGAACTAGCTGATATAATTTAATTACCATATCAAAGCTTAGTAAAATTAGTCTTCACTGTTTAGATCGATTGTTCACTAGAATTATCATGTAAATACTGATCGAATTCTAACAAGCAAGTTTTAATATAACTTGAAATCGTGTACACTATATTGTATTGTTAGGTGGCTAGAAGTAGTCGTAAATAGACCAAGATTTTCTAACTTATCGACAATAGATTAATCTAAAAACGTTAAGCTTATTAAGCAAGAAATTGAGAACTATAAATCTACATAACTCTGTGCTTAAAAAGTGAATATGTTTAGAGTTGATTTTAAATATTAACATTTGAGATGGTGGAGAAGATTTGTAGCTCAGGTGGATGATTTTGATGGAGTTTTGTTCTCTGAGCTGGATGGTTTGGTCATGGAGTTTTCTATTTGATATTTGTGATGATGATGAACGATGAAAGCTCCACGAACAAACCATCCAACTCAGAGAACAAAACTCTATCAAAATATTAACATTAGCTGATTAAATAATACCTTCAATCTATTAACCATTTGACCTGTTACATTTCTTCTTTGTGCAGTGTTATGGTTATGGATGAATTTAACGAAAATAAATGAGCAAATGATTCAGTGATTCAAATTTAACTTATTGTTTAAATTTAAATGTTTTCTGTGTAACTCGAATGTGACACGATTGATAACTATCGTAAATTGCTGTATGAGAAATACAGGAGTAGTAAACAATAGGTCTATCTGAAGTAGAAGATTCTCAAGATGCTTCTAATAACAAAACAGTTCCTTAGCATAAGACACTAAATATTGATATTGTGTTTTGGATAAATCTTGAGACTTAAAAGTATCAAACTATTGATGTAGCCTCTAGATTCTTGCTTCTACTCTTTCCCCTGCTCAAAAATGTTTGAAAGTATTACTATCAAATATTATAAACAAATGAGGACATTTTTAGTCTCTGATATTTTGTATGTGCTAGTTACAAATAATTCACTATTTCTTGTTGCATCAAAAGTATAACAAACAAATGTTCCTAAGGTTTACTTTCATACTAAGTCATGAGAATCATGAATTTTATTTAAAGTTTAAACGCGCATATATTATTCAATCTAAAAATAAATTTAGATTGCATTTAACAATGCCTTATGTACTGATTAACAACCTTGGGTTACTCCTTGGCATTAGGATTATTACATAAGAATAAAACCAATGCAAATCTATTTCAAATTGAAAGAAATTCTAAGGTATGTTCTTAAAAGATTCCATTAGTTAGAATGTTAAATTTTTCAGTAGCTCATTAAATTTACTAACTATTCTTAGAAGAGAATACCTAACTGATAAATCTTCTGACTGAACTCTTGAATCTGTTTCTTAAGCTCTACTAATAACCCAAGGCAAAATCCACACGATAACGTCAAAACGGGAGAAAAGAAGCGAAGTTTGTAAAGAATGTTTTACTCCGAATTTAGTTTGCGTACGGAAAATTGAGAGTATATATAACATTTTACATGACTTCGGGTTTTTGGAACGTTCTGGAGCCCTACTAAACATAGTAGCACGATAAGTAATCAACCGATTAAAAATGTGACACATGACTCTTTACTTTCTCAATGTTTCTGAGAAACTTCTATTCAATGATGGTTAGATAAAGTGTTAACCAGTGTTTTAATTGCTTCTCTGAGCTCTTTTTTTCTAGGAATTCTCTTGGTCTTCTCAACACTAACTATACACTAGATTTAGCAATTATATAATTGGATATTGGCATTCATATTGACCGGAAATTATGTAGATCAGTCAAATAAGTTTTTACGTTTGATTCATAAATGCGAAATTTTAATAAGAAACGTGTAAAGACCATAATATATTAACTTGATACTTTCACTGACGTTCCCGTTTGTGTAAATTTCGGATTCTTATTCAGGTTAGGGTTTTTCTGGTTAGCTTTTTTTAGCGAGTTAGGTTTCTACGGGATGGAGCCGCTAACCTTATACCCAACCCTCATCCTTTACCCGGACTTAGGACCGGCGGTACATCTAGAAGAGCTACAGGCTGATTAATTTTAATGCAATGGGTTGATTATACCCATTTTATTAAAAAGGAACTTTATTATAATTGTTTAAAATTTTCCATTCTATTGAAACAAAAATATATGACCTTTACTTTAATTGTTAAAATACACTTTCTTATTCTATTATAATATGAACTAGGCATTAATTGTTTAAAAATTTCAATTCTGTTAAAACAAAAGTTTATTAAAAATAGTAATGATCATTAAACAGAGTTAAGATAAATACTTTTGAGTAATATATTGTATACAAAAGTTGTATTAAACAGTTTATATTGACTAAAAGTCACATTACAATTGTAATGGACTAAAAAGAATTACATAAAATAAAAATAAGAAAGCTTGTCAAAAATCATGTATAAAAAGATAATCAATAAAAGATATGGAAACAATGAAATGATGAATTACTTACAAGTAGTATTTATATAAATTTTTCTGTTTAGCGTTTTTCTAGCGAGTTAGTTTTCTACGGGAAGATAGTCAATATCATACAGAATTCATATGATGGATTACACTGCAAAATCGTGCATGGAGGACAGTTGACAAAGTCGTTCGAAATAAAGACCGGTGTCAGGTAATGTTGCTTACTCTCACCCTTTCTCTTTCTCCTGGTGATCTACTGGTTCATGAAGACGTCAACATCGGAAGGGAAACACGGGATACAATGGACATCGAGGATGCAGTTGGACGATCTAGACTTCGCAGATGATCTGGCCCTTCAATTCCCAAACGCAACAACAAATGCAGGAAAATAAGACCAGTGTAGCAGCAGCCTCAGCAGCAATAGGTCTCAATACATACAAAGCGAAAAGCAAGATCTTCCGATACAACACAGCATGCACCAATCCAGTCACAATTGATGAAGAAGATTTGGAAGATGTAAAAACCTTTACATATCTGGGCAGTATCATTGATGAACATGGTGGATCTAATGTAGATGTGAAGGTGCGGATTGGAAAAGCAAGAGCAGTATATCTACAATTGAAGAACATCTGGAACTCAAAACAACTGTCAACCAATACCAATTTCAGGATTTTCAATACAAATGTTAACACAGTTCTACTGTATGGAGCGGAAACCTGGAGGGCTATGAAAGCCATCACCCAGAAGATACAGGTGTTTATTAACAGTTGTCTACACAAAATACTTCAGATCCGTTGGCCAGACACTATTAGCAACAACCTACAGTCGGAGAGAAGAAACCAAATTTTATCGGAGGAAGAAATCAGGAAGAAGAGCTGGAAGTGGATAGGACACACATTGAGGAAAGCATCCAACTACGTCACAAGACAAGCCCTCACATGAAATCCTCAATGCCAACGTAGGAGAGGAAGACCAAAGAACACATTACGTCGAGAGATGGGGACAGACATGAGAAAAATGAACAAAAATTGGATAGAACTAGAAAGGAAGGCTCAGGACAGAGTGGGTTGTAGAATGCTGGTCGACGGCCTATGCTCCACAGCGAGTAACAGGCGTAAGTAAGTAATTATTTATATAGGTGTCCATATTTATTCATAGTTAATTCACAAAGTTAACGTAAAAAGACAATTGAATGTCTAAAAGTGTAGACATATTTTGAAATTGTAGCAATGACTGGATAGGATAAATGCTTCTTGCATCAACTAATAATGTATACGAAGAGGTTCATATAGAGACTTGGTATTTTACCAACTTTGAGAAAAAGAAATTGATATTGTTTATTAGCATATAATTTACATAAACAGTAATCAATGTTCCATAAAGTTTGTTTATGGAAGTTAACAATAGGATTAAAACAAAGTTTTATAACCAATAACGATAAATTTAAGAATTGATTGATGTAATAAAAAATATGAATATTATCAATGATTGATTACAAAATCAGTTTAATAATTGATATATGTGAAAATTATATTTATAATAATCTCAATGATTGAAATTTAAAATAATTCCAACGTTCCGTCCAGCTAAGTTGTCTGGACTTCTTCAGGCTAATTGATAGTTTCTATCCAAAAACGTTCACAATATTAAAATATTTCAAAAATGATATAATATATATATTCAGATTTTATAAGTATAATTTACTTTAAGCTTTTGACAACGTTTCTATATTGTAAAATGCATGGTATGTTTACAATTTTAAATTCGATATATTTTTTTGTAAGTTAAGATTATCTATTACATTTTTCTTTAAATCTATGAAGTAAACTGTTGTGTAAATACTACTGAAATCAACATGAAAATTTTGTAATTACAAAATATAACAAACAGAAATCAAAATGAAATTCAACTGTCAAAATATTCGAGTTGTACTTGTAATTGTAATAATTAACCAGAAACAAAATTAATCGTTATGAAAATAAATTATCACTTAATTATACATATATTGTGAAGGATTTGTGGTCTATAAGAGAGAAGTGATTTTGTATCTTATACTTTACAAGTAAGTTAAAATGCAATACTTTTCAATAGCGTGTGATTTGAACCATTCTTAAATATTGCTTTACAATCTAAATTTAACTTTTTTAACGATTTTTAGGTTGATGTTATGAACTGATCAATGTTGGACCACAATTAAAAACTTGAAAGCACTGGAGGACTGTTTCGTCCCAGTATATGACTCCTCAGATGTGAGAACTCCTAACCCGCGTACATGATCTTGGACGCGCACCGCCGACGAGTTCAACACTAGGATGAAACACTCGTCCAGTGCTTTCAGGTTTTCGATGGCGGTCTAACGTTTGTCTATTCATTATAGCAATCTAAACTCAACCATCTCCACAACCCTACACAGATTTTTGAATACAATCTCAGTCTGATCAGATTTGTTTTAAATACTGTTTATTGAAAATTACTGGTCCAGATTTCTCGTACTGATGAAATAAATTGACCAGAAGTACAGCTTTTCATTATCAGTTCGTTGTGATCAAACAATCATTCTAGATATAATATTATGTTATTGAGTTTTTTTCTTACATTATGAATGATACCGGTTGCAGCAATTCGTCTAAAAATCGATAATCTATAATCGTTGTAATAGAAATTCCACAGAGTACGAAAACATTTCACATTTGTCAGATAGTTATATAAGATCTATAGGAAGTCTGAAAAGTCATTTGTCAACGTTTTACAACAATTTCTGGAAGATCTTCCGCGTTGTCACACCATATTATCTGATAATAGTGACTTATATAGACAACAACTGCATGAAATCGACATGTAAATAACAAAGGAGTAATAATATGAAACACAAATATTTTTGATATCTTTCTCTAATGAAAAGATTTATGAATATAACTGTGACGCTAATATAACTACTCAATATATTTTTCCGTAACTTACTGAAATGACCAACATCAGAAATCAACTCAAATTAGTCGATTTTCAAAATGATGGTTAATGCTTTTTGATGAGTGTCTGACTGTTTCAAACGAATATTGAAATCTGTTCCAAGTCTGTTACAGAGTAGAGTGAGATTTAAACAAGTTACAGTAGGTTTTCGAATTCTATCAACGGATTAGGAATAACAAAAACACCATATTTAAATCATCAGCTTGTTGAATAAGGCCATATTCCTAGCAAATAAGGTCTTGTCTATAACTTACTGCAACATCTATAATGAACTGTTTTACATGTTTTAAAATAGTAGTCTAGATCATAAAAAGTCAACTGATTGTGTTAGAGTTTATTGCAACACTAAAATGGTCATCGTTATCACAACTCCACTTCAAAACAATTAAGTGTAAATTGAGAGCTTCGCGAACAGGCAACTGAAAATAAACAGCACCTACAAACTATGATAAAAGTTACTAAGTTGAAGAAAATAGTAGACTGCCTGCAAAACCATGAGTAAGCATGTCATTTTTTTATTGTTCATTTTAAAACTCTGAAATATTTTTTTGAAAGACTGAATCGGACACTTCGAATGAGCATATGAAGCTTCAATAGACATATATCAAGTCCTCATCGTCAAAAAGTGTAAAAGAATTGGTTTATCAGATGTCACTGATGGACAAATGTCCGTTTTTATGAACCTTGGATGTAAGTTATTAAAGTTCGGTAGGTTTATGATGTGTGGATGTGAAAGTAAAGTATGAGTGGTCACTGAACGTGGATAAACAAGCACTTAGCATACGGACTGTTAAATATGCGATTACCTTTCCTCTCGTTGATTTCTACTCCGAACTCATTGAGACTGACAGCTTGTAATTGTGTTGAATAGATTACCATTAAGTTTATACTCTGATTATCTATTCCGGGTCGTGAATTCTGGATCTGATATAACATGACTAGCCTCATTATCGTATTAACGCATTATAGTAGTAATAGCTGAGCGAGTGAGAAAAATATTTTAAATCATCCGTTATATCAGTTCATTAGAATTATCGAGCAGGAATAAACAGGAATATTTGAGGTAAATTGATTTTATTCAAATCAATGTAATAAATAATTACTCATTGTTTTACTGCAACATACTAGGAAGACAAACCAATTCCTATGTACCAAAGATTATTATCCTAATATGGATATTTCGCCTATTGTATGTTGAGCAATTTACAGCTCATTTCGTACTTCACTTTCCATGTTTATGCTGTTATTGTAATTGTCTGACAATATCAGAGCCGACAGTTTAATGAGCACTATACAGTGTGAGCAAAAATTGTAAAAAACAGAATGAAATTTTAGGGGTCTAATGATACTACTTAACTTCGTTAAAAGAGAGCACTTAAAATATAACAATAAAATTCTGACCATTGTATTCAAACATGCAGCGTTAAGTTCTGTTGGAAGTATGTCATTTAACAGCTATTTAAACGTTGATTCCTTTATCAATGAAATTATGCATATGGGCGTCCTGTCAAATAGCAGTACGACCAGCTTGAAGAATGGAAACAGACTTATCTTTGTGGAGTAAACTCTTCTGAGTGACCAATATATTTATATGGATGTTATATTCAGAGTTCTAAATGCCTTTTATAAACGTATTTCATACAGAACATGAAAATTGTGTTAATGGTATGAATATCTATAGGGAGTAAACAACCTTAAAATGGTGGACGGAATGAAGGATTCACACGTTGATTTTATGTTGATTTCTCAAAATATTCAAGTATGATAGTTTTACTTTGCAGTATCACGTTTGCTAAGCGTAGTCGATATTTCTTTGAGAACACTTGTGGTGGTGTTAGATGCTATTTACACGATCGTAAAAGCTTAATATAACTCAGAAGATTTACATTCAACATTTAACACTCAGTTAAGGTCAGAATTGGTGAACACAGGAATATTAAATCTGTACGGCATGACTCGTTTATGCAGGTGTGCTCACTCCATATAACCTCTTGCTTTCTATATTATCTATATTATCCTCTTCCCAGTCCAACATAGCCTAGCAGCAACAATTTACTATCAAGACAGAACGAGTCAGTGTAGATAATGATATGACTTCCACTTAAGGTCTGATAGGTTAAATAGTCACATCATGGCAGTTCTAAAATTCTGGATGATGTATGCTATTCTAGTAGCACAGATAGGTCTACTATTTTAACGAACGACGAACTGAGGTAGAGCAGACCAATTTATTGTGCTCCCATAAAATATGAAGACCATACATAACATCATTTGTACATCTTCGAGCAGCTGTCTTTTACAATCTTCATTGTCCCCTCATTCCTGTTGTTATTTTGATTGCTTTCAGTTTTCTTTTCTTTTTTTTTTCATTTCAGTCTTCTCGATCTTCTGCTGGCATGCAATCCACTTCCAAATGGTGCCACTAACTACTTATATCTGTCAACATAAGTAGTATACACCATACTATTATTGACCTAGATCTTAATCACGGACATCTGTCGTTTAATTGATACTATGCTTCTTAAAGAAGTATATTTCTCAACCTTTGACAACTATGTAAAACACAAATATTTATCAATGTTATTCGATCTATTCATAATAAGTCGAATAGCTAAAATAAATCTGTGTGATCATAGGTGTAAACAAACAGTCAGCAACCAAAAACATTCTTTATAGTAGAAAGCTTGAAGAATATGAATCACCAGCTAAGCTTCACACATACAGGTTAATTTCTAAATTAGTAACTTATTATTAATGTTTAAATAACATTAACAATACATGTCTATTGAATCAGTATATCTGTAGTATGAATACAAACACCAATAAACATGTTGCGTCTTTCCGATTGGTTAACCAGCGAAATGTACTTTAAGCTCTAAAGATAACACAAAGGTCTCATAAAATCCTTACTAAAATACTGTAGGTAATTATTGAGACTCTTAACATTTGAATTTATTAGTCGGAGTTTAATTATATTCCTATCATTATGATGTATATGGCACAATTCCTACTAGTGATCTCGCTGATTATAATTAATATAAATTATAGTAAGATCATTTATTAAAGTTTCATTTCATTTAATGATGTTTTAATTATACAGAATAGGCACAAATTTTGATTTTATCATGCTTAGTGATTTCAGTGATTCGATAATTTATCTTGTTATTTATAATTAACAGTCAGTTTCATATTCATTGGTAAGCTTGAATAGATAATGATCAGCAGTCTTTCAGTTCAGTATCTACTGAAGTTAACGAATATATACTGACTATAATTAGTTGAATAAAACCATATCATTATTAGGTGTAATAATTCTTCAAATTCATTTCGAAATATTTGATTAATCAATCGACACTAGATTTGAAGCCTTGAAACATTTAATGTTACAGGAAGCTATTGTATATCTGTTTTATGATAATTTGATTTTTGCATTCTTATAGAATCTTAAAGTGATTTCTTTAAGTAATGATCTTAATGTTTTGGCATTTTTCAGTTCATTCATCTAATAGGACACTAGTTACATTCCTAAAGTACTGACTTAATGTTAGAGTTAGCAATAATCGCTGTATTCATTACTATATAATGGGTTGTAGTAAGCATCTTTTTAACAATAAATTTTGTTTAAATGAGAACTTTATACGGTATGATCCAAACAATATATATATAAATAAGTCTATACTATAGTGATTGCTTACTAAATATATATTTACACTCTAATGTTTTCGACAATTCTACTTCAATAATTTTTCCGACTGCATAACTTAAATGCTTTATATGCATGGAGTAACATCAAGTAGTAAATAGGAAGTGAGATATAGTAATCACTTCGGTGTTCCGATTAGAATTTGGCACCATTTATCATGATATCATTTGAAAGGTTTGTAGTAAATCTCAGAAATAAATAATATAATTAATAGACTTGGTCAGTTAGATAATAAGTAGGTGGCCTAGAGAAAATAGTAGGCAACCAACTTATGTATAGTTCAAAGGTGAACTACACAGATAATGCATTCATGACTATTTTTTGAGCCAATTTGTTTGAAACAATTTGAATTTCGACTTAAGCGTTCATATAAAGAATCAGTATTCTTCAGACTTCCCTACACTATAAAATTCAAGGATACCTTTATCCGTAGTACGTCAGAAGTTGGTTAAATAAACTGAATCTTGTTATAAAATATTTTAAGAAAACCAGCGTACATGAAATAATCTACCTGTCATTTGTCGTTATTAAGGAACAATTGCACTTTGCTTGTAATCACATTCCTAATTAATAAACATATCCAAACTTATAAAATAAACTAAGAAATATAGATCATAATATTTGACTACTGAAAAGTTAATCAGCAACTCAATACCACTGAGCCACTGAGCCAGCTAAATGCAAGCTACAAAAAAACTAAATACAAGCTACAATTTTTTTTCGAAAACTAACTGTACTTAGAATATAAGTAGGTAAAATAAGTTCTGCGAAGAAAGATAAACCATCAATTTCTAAACTTTTTTGTTCCTCAAACTTTACTATATATGATGTTCGGTGACAACTTTCACCCTTTTTTATTCATTTGTACTAGAGTATATTTCATCAAAATTCTTAGTACGAATAGTATTATTATATAGTTTCATTTTATTTGTACTCAATAAGATTAACGAAATGTTATATGGATTGCAATCAAAGCACTAATTGAAGTGTTGAGATAGATGAATAAATTGGATTATGCTAAAAGATACAAGAGAGGACGTTTAATTTCACAATGATACGGGCTTTAGGTTTATTTGATATAATTACATTTCCAGAATTTATATACTGACCATTTTGTATGAGGCTGAGCAATAATCATTCGTTCGAATTTTTTTTTCATTGCAGATAACACTGAAGCCACATAATAAATATGAGTTATAGTTTATCCACAAAACATTCTGTTATTTTTAAGCTGTTTTAATATCCATTTCAGATTAATCTGAAATCTTCACAAGGTTGAAATAGCCTTCCTAATCGATTGTTTTACGGAAGGTTGTCATGTCAAAATCTAAGTGAATACTTTCAATCAATTTACTATAATTATTGGAGTCTGTAGGAACTAATATTTATAGAGAAAACAATTTTCATTTGTCAAATTTATAGTAAAAATAAGTCAAATATGATGATTAAATAAAAATAATAAGACAAATGTCCCATAGATGGTTAATGAGGCTTTAACACAAAATATCTACCGGTTCAAATTAAGCTAGAAGGATAAGGTTTTTTAAATTAAGGGATTTAATCATATTTCCTGCCTTCATATCAGCTACAAATTGTAAAGTTGGAAGCAAACAATGACAGGTTTAAGGTCAACAAGAACCAATCAACATCGAGATGTATAGGACAAGCTGTCAACCACATGTAGAGAAATCCGAACACTTCACTTCTATGTTAAGCTTGCGCTGATGGTGTCGTTCAGAAGAACGATGAAAGCTCCATGACCAAACCATCCAGCCCAGAGAACAAAACTCCATCAAAAGTTGGAAACAATACAGAAATCTATCCACTAGAACTTATTGATTGGAAAATGTCGATAGAACAATGAGAAGACGGAGTTGATTTGAAAAATGTGATATATTAGTTGCTGCAAGTGATCAGTATTTGAATACTGAATACGCAGTTATATAAAGATGTAATATCATAAACAATGATTAAAGGAAAATTCGAAAAATATTTAAACAAACAAATGATTTTATAATCAAGCTACTTAGGAGAGTCAAAATCAAAATTAACATTGTGGGTGAATAGCGGCGGAATGTTATAAAAATTTAAAATAAAACTAAAACGTGTTACGCCATTACTACTATTTAACAAACCTATTAGAGTTTTATCACACTTGAAGGTGTAACGAAGAGTAAAATCTGGATTTATTTCATAATAATTAGTTAAAAAACATCTTTTGTTATATCCAATATCCTTAAAGTACCTTATGATCTCACCTGTGAACAGTTTTACTTTCTTCAAAACAGTTTTCGAAGGGTGTGTTTAAAAATCTTTGGTGATAGTTTTCGCTCAACTGTCCCTATAGAATTGCTACAACAATTAGGTGCGAAATCAATAATACAATTGTAGGTGGCTTCATAAGGGTACTGATCCACTTCCGATTATTTTATTAAACATTTCCTATCATATAAACATTCATATAAGTATTTTAATGTAAGATAATCTAAGGTTTAACACACATATTAACGTACCAACACTAAGTTGGTGATCAACTTACTATTTGAGAAATAGTTGTAGTATTTATTGTTTAATAGATCTTACCCCAAAAATACTAAATTTACGACTACAACTGGTTAAATTATCTATGACCACAATACTTCATCAAAATAATTCCTAGATTTTGAGAATCATCAACTTTTGATATTTGTGGATGTACCGGTTTGTAAGTTCTAAATATCACAAAAATGTGTGTAATAGATTGCATCCAACTCTCCATTGTTAAAACAAAAGGTACCCGTATGTTGAATAGATTAGCTGAATGGCTATATATCAAATTTTACCAATATAGTTTTGTCGATGTTTAAAGCTTGAAATCAAGACAGTAGTTACTACGTTTTGATGGATCAATCAAATATTTAAGCCAGTTTAATTCTGATAGATATGATTTACTTCTTGATGCTACAGATAATTAGTTCAATAGGACGTATGACATATCTGCTAATCACCTTTCATTAGAAATAACAGGGTTATAAATATTTTCTTAATGCTTATAGATTTTATTGAAATCACCAACCGATCCAAGTTAGATAAACATTAAAAACCTGGAAATGTTGGAAAAGGTTTTCGTCCTGGATGGTGGTGCGAGACGGAAAGCCCTGACTTCTATTCTCGATTGCGTTGTTGTGGATGAACACTATCGAGTTGGTCCATACCAGGACTAAAAAGCCATCCAGTGCTTTCTGGTTTTCAATGGTTGTTTAACTCTGATTGGTTGATGATTTCAATGGAATCCAATAATCTCAGCGACCTCATACTTACACTTACTAATTTACCAGCGGTAGGACTTGAAGTTACCTATATTTGGATGCAAAAATGTTACTATCGCTCTGCATTTGAATCGGAGATAGCACATTATGTCATGTAAGATAATGAAATATTGGTATATTTCTATTCACTCAGAATTTAAATTAAAATAACAAAGAATTAATGTTCACAATTTTAGCAGATAATTATCAATATGAATGATAATCTGTCCTATTAGTTATCACGGCTTACTAATGGTGAGATTATTGTTATTTTGTATTTCTTCTGACTTCAGATCTGTCTTTGAATTGCTACTCATGTTTACTATGTCCAGATCCTTTCGATCCTTCATCACGACTGGTACACAATGATAGTAATTGTCAATGGTGTGCAGTGAGTGAAATCCGTAAAAAAATATTCATTTTTGGGAATACTATTCACTTACTGAACTATACTACTTACTGTACTTACTGTTTTACAAATGAAAGTCGATTACGGGACCTAAAGTATTGTACAGTAACTGGTGTATATACTTAAATACGCACAACAGACTAGTTGTGGATTCACTGTATTTCCGAAGTTATTTCTTTGAGAACATGCTAGGTTTGAAGCGGTTACGAGTTCACTTAGATTGAGAACGGAACAAAGACTCGATGACCAAAAACCAATAAACTAGCTATTCGCTGCGTCCTAGCCCTGCTAACTAGAGGAAGAAGTCCAAGCTTGGAATGGGGAAATATATTCTGAAAACAGCCAGAAACGAGCGATAACAACAAACAAAAGTCTAAACGTATATATACGGCACAAAACCGTCCTTGGGGAGAGTTACAAATTAGCATTCTAAAAGACACAACGGACCAATAGCATTTAAGATGCCCCCAAGTGGGAAGTACAAGATGAAGGTGAAAATAGCGCTTTGGAGCGAGAACAAAGAAATTGAAATTTTCTAAACAAAATTACAAAATCAGGTCTCTTTCCAAATGAGTTCTGGGGATCTAACGTCTTCAACAGAATATAACCGCTCAACTATATCTAAGATTTTGATAGTTGTTTATTCTTTTGAGATCTAAAAAACTTAACTAAAATGAAAGTATTTTGTTTGTGCCTTCTGATTATTTAAAGCAAAAAGGAATGTTACTATGCTATCGATTGTTTGAGCTTTGATCAATTGAATTTTATTAACAAGAAGGGTTTGTTTAGATTGTTGGATTTTATAATGAATATCACGATCTGAAATTAGTTAGACAATTATTTAAACCTTATAAACAATGAACAGTTGTTTTGTCCTAGTCTGGAACTCCTCAATAATGGGAACTCACGAGACAGTTACTTAGCACTATTGTAGAGGTCATTTCCTCTATATTTGACTCCAGTAAATGATATCCTGTTAACTGAATATTTTAAGCAGGTCGATTCTCCTAGTAGCCCTATGAATTCGCTCGAGAATATTCAAAAGCCAGAACATCAATTGTTGGTAGAGTGCATTATTAACAATTGATAAAGTCCGTAAGCTCGCAAAAGACAAGCACACTGGGAAGCGAGAGAGCAAGAGTGAGTGTCATACATATTTATGTTTATTAATCAATTATGAGAAAGTTATTGTCTGACTATGTAAACAACCGATGGGAGAATAAATAGTATTGATGTGCAACATCGGTGTTAAAAGGTTGTTATTAAGCAGTAGATAACGCAAGTTCAAGTATCCTTACTACAGAAAATTCTGTGATGTGCTACTAGAACCCATGATTTGCATTAGGCATGTAAGAACAATAAAACGGTAGAAAGAGATTTATTTGATACCATGATAGACCATGATGATACTCGAATACGCTAATATTTTTATTATTGATTTATATCGATTGACAGTGAGATTTATAATATTATATCGAGTAGCACTTGACATTAATTAATTAATAATCTACTAAATGAAGAAAAATGTGCATCACAAAATTCAATGTCTATAACCATTAGTTATATTCGATTCACTACAATCATATAATCACACGTTTTGTGATGCGATATTATGGGATAAACGATTGGAAAAAATTAATTTTGATAACCTACTAGTCCTTGAACAACATGTCGTCAAGATAACAATCAGTTATTATAGATGATTTAGTCATTTTCAATAAACATGTTTTCTGAGAATTTTATATTTCTTGTAGAGTAGAAGTGAAACATGTGGTTGTGATATTTATTGATAAAAAGATTAACCATTTAAGTTAAATTTGTGAGATTCGTTGCTTTGTGAAAATTGTAGAGGTGAACAGCTGATGTATCTTGAGTGTCTATGAAATAGTATAACAATTTAAAACCTCTATAAGTATATCTTATCACCGATTTTAGCTAACAAGTAAAATACCTAAGAGGAGAGATTAGAAATAAGATTAGGAAGATGATATATGAATAGTACCCTTTCTTATAATTAAATTGTTCACTTTTGAAACAGATATGCAAACGTGTTTTCACAACTACATTAATAATATTTACAAGAAACTATACACTTAATGATTCCTGTAAATAGTTATGTAGGTGGATTTCGACTGTAAAGTTGAGATGTGATATACTTTAACTGCAATTTGACAGAAAAATACATTATGTTTGTATTACCAGTGAATACATTAAATGTCTAATAGATTCTCTATAACATTTTCTTGGGCCCTTAATTTTGTCGTCATTTAGTTCGTACGTTGTTGTTGGAAGGTCTCTCCACTTTAGTGGCCCAAGATCTGACTCCAAGGGAATCATGATGATGATTGTTGTTGAAATATATATGTCGCCTATCCTCGTATATAATCATCGACTTTAATCACGATTTAGATAAGTCAGATAACGAGAATGGACTTTTAAATACATATATATTTTGTATATGAAGCGAATGGAATAGAGAGAATAGAAACGACGAGTAGTGGAGATGACTGGTAAGCAAACTTTCATTTAACCAAGCGTTAATCAATATTTATAGGCACACAAAAATAAGTTGCAGACATGTGATGAGTAATGGGATAAGAATTGTACACACACCTACATGCTCATATAAAAACAGTCAAAATTGATAAGCGAATAAATAACAATGCCAGAACGTGACTCAAGTAGGATTAATAGAATGGGCTGTCCGAAGAATATATAGCCTTAACATAATGACTGACACTACATTGATGGAACAATAAAAACAAATGTTATATCCTATTATCTAATTAACACATTTACCTGTTTGTAAAAGTTCTCTTTTTGTTTAATTTTGTCAAATTAAAATCATATATCTATCTACTTTTTCTTTTCATATCTTTTTTGATAGAAACTTGAAGTTCCACATTATTTTAATCCAATTAGACAATGTACACCTAAATGTGATTTTGATTATTTCAGTGAAACATACCCTAAACTAACTTATTATTGTTGTCAAAATAATTATTGTAATAAAAGTAACAAAAATTCAATAATAATTCATCATATACTACTAATAACTATCATTATTATTTATTTATTTCATTATTTCTAAAAAAAAAATTGATAAAACAAAAACCAAAAAACAATCAACAGTACAATGTTCAAATCAAAATGTTTTCATAAGTTTACAATCTAAATTTTACAATGTTAATCATGTGAAAAAGAAAAAAATAAACACTGTGATTTCTTTATTTAAAGATGAGCCAAAAAAAAAATTTTTTTTTATTTTCTTTTTCTTTTTTTTTAGGATTCATTAATTTATTTTGTTTCAGTTTTGGAAAAATAATAAATTCCATGTTTACTTTTTATATTTTTTATATTGAATAATTTACTATTTAAAGATATTACATAATACACGGGTGAGATACATGTTTATTTACATTACGTAAGATGGTTATCATCTATATATTTAGTTGATTGTTTCTGTGTACTAACATATATGTATTTCATATCAAAAGGGTTTTTGTGGAAATTATAATAATTTCAGTGGTTGAGATCATGAGCTAGATCACTATGGAAAACCTGGAAGCACTAGATGACTGTTTCATCCTTTTGTGGGACTCCTCGGCAGTGTGCATCCACGAATCCGCCTCATGGGGTCCGAACACAGGGCTTATCGGTCTCGCGCCAGGAGCTTAACCAACTAGACCACTGATCCGGCCGGCATCCAATGATGTTAATGTTTAACTTCAATTAATACACGAAATTGAGCGTCATATCCACCATTGTCTTCAATGAGCTACTATCTCACAACTGGACCGGTTGAACTCCACTGGTCATGACTTCTCACTAGAACTCCAAGATATACCTTCTGAAGTCAGTCACTAGTGAGCATATGTTAATTCATATCAAAAGGTTTTTTGTGGATATTATGATAATTGCGATGGTTGAGATCATGAGTCAATTAAAACTAGATCACCATGGAAAACCTGGAAGCACTGGAAGACTTTCATCCCATTGTGGGACTCGTCAGCAGTGTGCATCATGTATTTGACTATACATAAGTCTAGAAAATAAATATATATGTCACTAGACTAAATAATACCTACAGGCACATAACCATTATGTTATGTTATGTCTTTAACTTATACGATTATCGCAAAACACGACTGCTAAGTTTACTTGCACTGACTTACACGACAAAACTAATGACGCATACACTAGTAAAAGCAGCCTAGAATTCCCATCGATCCTTTTTCCACCTAGACCTTCCTGTTAAGTCCAGAACGCCAATCTCAGCCTGCACAATACGAATTGTATATTTAAACATACTGAGTTTATATACAAACAAATTAGACTACATCACACCATGAAATAGAAAATAACATTTGTACAAGATTAAGCCAAAAAGTGAATGTTATTGTGAGGGACTGTTGCTAACAAACTGGGAATATCTCAAGAATAATAAATTGTATCATAAAAGTCAATAGGTCAAATAAAGGCTTATTATGAAAGGAATATCAATATGCATATAACATAGTTACTTAATAGTAATACAACAACACAGACTTCCTCAAGTTTTACTTTGTACAGAGTTGAGTCATATATTTTATTCTATACATTCTGTTTCATTATTTCGTTTAATAAAATAATGAAGCAGATGGACGTAAGTTATCAAGTAAATCAATGGTTTGAGTTCAACTGGCCAAGTCAAAGTAAGTAACGTTAGTCGAGTTACAAATGTTTAGTGTACATTTATCATCTGGAATCGGTCGCATGATAAATACATTCAGTGAAATATAAAAGTGGCATTCAAATGTGTATATCAGCCATAAACATTTTTATTAGTAAGCGAATTCCCTAACACAGTCGATAATTCATCTTAGATAAAAATTCATCATTAACTGTACCTAATTTGCCACTAGTCCCATTTTTACCTGAGTGACACTCAAGTAGTCAACAGATTTTTATTTTCTTATTTCTTCACTAGAACAATCAATATTACTGGGTATTTAAGGTTTTAGAGTCAGGCGAAAATTCAATTGCAAAAAAGTTGAGTTCAAGGAAGTGAAATAATGAAGAACGCTATTATTTTCCAGTTCCACATTTCAGTAATCTCTTATCACAATCATGATAAAAATACGTTTTAAATTTTCCGATCCTCTGACTGTAGGAAATCAAGTAAGAAACATGAGTTTTGTACGATTCTAAAATGCCTCTGAATCTATCACTTTGGAAATGAACTGAGAAAACACTTCATAGAGGCTTGTGTACTGATAACTATTTATACATAATTCCCTCCATTTTTTCCAATTATTCTAAACTTCAATTTCTTAAAGTTTGCCTAAAATTAACAGAAAATTCTATGAAGTATCTACAAACTCCACATTTAGTTAGAACAATAAATATATCGAAATAGAGCAATGATATGCATTAGATTAGGTAATAAATAATGTGACTCAAAAATAGAATTCGTAATGAATAAACAGGACATAAATCAACCAGTTAGGAATAATCTCTTAAAGTAGTCAAAATGATTAAAAGTTAGATTTTAACAAAATGTTCAGTGCGAACAGTTTCAGAAACACTGCTATCCTGAAAAATTCAAATGATGTATACTGAATACATTGAAGGTTTGATACTCGTCAATGTTTCGTGAAGTGAAGTATTGCAAAACACCTCGTTTAGTTAACAAGTCAAATGTATCTTTACATCTCACATTTTACTGACTATTACCGCACGAAAAATAATGCAGTTTCCGTGTGTATGCCTCTGTAGTTCATAGGTTCTTCGTTGTGATTATATAAAGACTCTAATTACGAGATGGCTGTTAGCGCGATGAACGTGAAATCTGAAGCTGTTCAAATTTCGAAATTCAAACGAGAGAAAATTAAACCATAAAGAGTTTTTACAGTCTTAGTAACAAACATGTAATTATAAGTTAAAGCATAATCGACGAATAAGAGCGTCCATCCACGAATGTTTTTGTGATCATTTTATGGAATACAGATATTTATGGTCAAACAGAAAATCATATACTTTTATTAGTTCTATTTATGTTGGTCCCTATTCAATTTTCCTTCTCGTTTCACTTAGTGATAATACGCTCACTGAAATGTAAGACGTTCAAGCTAAATTCATTTCTAATATAATTCAGCTTAGACAACCGCTTTTCTTCACGAGAAAGAACATATTTGCGTCATTGTATGTGATACTACACATCTACAAATAATTATTTACGTGTATTTGTGCTTACAAACAAAAAATTATTTGAAATGTGTTTAGTTATTAGATTTTTGGTAAAACGATTGTCATTCACTGAAAACACATGACACCGTATATAACACCATTGACAAATCATTTAAAACAAACAATCTTCAATTGAAATAACAACAAAGGTTTACAATTCATGACAAAATGTGTTTCAAGATGACAAATGTGAAAAAATATTACCGTATGTAAATTTCGTAAATCACTATATTTTTACTTTTACCGTAATGGTTTTTCATGACATACAACTGTTGTTGAGATCTTTATCTACTCGAAATTCAAAGCAAAATATTACATATTCAATTCATCACTGTTGTTTACTCAGAGCAACATGAATCAATAATAAAGTTGTCATTATAGTATTTGGTGCCAATCAAATGACGACAAGGACAGTGATTTTTCAAGGAACACAATTTTACCAAAGGATATCTAATATTTTTTGCTTACTCGAAATTCAAAGCAAAATATTACATATTCAATAGATTGTATTTTGATATTAGTCACATGAAACACATTTGTCAACAGAGTTCTCAGTCAATAATTTTAGTAATGTGGGCGTCAACTCTCTGTTTCATATTAAGTTCAGATGTATGTTAATGTGAAATTCGACAAAATAATAGAGTTGCCTCAGTCATGACATGATGAAGAGATTTCCACGATTTTCACTTGCAACCTTTCATGCGATATGTATCTACTTCTAGTGCAGTTAGTTTCTGAATAATTTTCTAATTTGTCTGGTTATTGTGTAGGACTTTATGAATTATTTTGTGAAATCGCATTTGTTTATCAATGATATGTAATCACAATAGCTTTATTCTTCACTACGAATTGGTTACAGTAATGAATTGTCAACATGACTTCTGAAATATTTCAACATATTTCTATATAACCTGCATTCATATTGAGATCATTCAAAAACTAAACATATTCAAGATTTTCTTAATATAAGTGTAAGGTTATGGAGACTGATTGTAGACGGTGTGTGGCACGACAAAGATGGGAATGGACAGTTTTTGGTGAAATGAGAAACATTGTTAGTTTTGTAAGAGTACAAGTATATTTGATAGAGAGATTAGAAACTACATATTTGATGGTGGGTTCTCGTCATTGGATGTTGACGGGAGATGGCTGTTAGTGTTGTGCTAATCACGACGACAGTTTCTGCAGCAGCCTCCATAACAGTTTCCACCTTGGCATCCACGACATCCACAGCATCTAGGGCATTGAGGACATGCACCAGGACAACAACCACCCTGACTGTCTGGTGCTGGTTCTGCAATCACTGAAAACGAAATAACACAACGTCACAATATGATTCACATGGAATATGACAGAGCAAAACAAAACAATTACAAGCCTACACCTCTATTCAGCCAACTTCAACTCTGGTCACTTCACTACATGTTGTTCCACAAATCGACAACACACCGCATTACTATTCATTTCAGTCCTGTTGACTTCGCTTCAGTTGAAGACATGACACAACACTGTTGTGGTTAACGGAAGGCTGAATCAGCAAGTGGGATACTTTTGTAATTACTCGCCAGTAAGTGGCAACTTCATGTTATGCGATCGAGTAAGATAAGACTCACCTGAGTTGTGACATTCGAATGACACGACCAGTACAACTAAGACGAGCTGAAATAAAAACACCGATCAGGCATATATTATTAGACACAACAGTATTTCAACATACATTGAAGATTTGCATTGTGGTTTGCTGTCAACTTGTTGCTGACTGCATACATTCAACCACAGTATTTATACTCGTGGAAGTTGGCATTCGAAGCAAACACGTGTTCACACCCGATGTCGAGCAGTTCAGTCGAAACAATCCATTTGCGTGTGTTTGTGTCTGTGTCCGTGTCTGTTTCTGTGTATGTGTGTGTATTATGTAGGTATGTACGTATGTGATCTGTACGTGTGTATATGTATGTGTATTTGTATGTGTTTGTGTTTGTATATGTGTATGCACACGTGTGTTTGTGTGCGAAGATGGAAGCGCGATAATTCACACTCGGCTTTGTTCAATGGATTTCACGTGGTACGTATGGGACGGTGTTGAAATCGACTTGATAATGATTGACAGGATACCTGA